GGAAAAAAAGAGTTTGTTTTTTTTTTTTTTTTCCCAAGTGTTTATTCCTGCATACCCACATGTGAGGCCCACTGCAGTCTGGGCTGGAGCTGGGTATCAGCTTTTTATTATTTGTTCTTTCTTAGGTAAAAATCAGGAAAGATTTGACTGCAGAATAGACTTGATTATATTAGACCTGATCGTCATGGAAAGAATGAGCTTTAATCTCACTTCCTTCACCTCTTGCTTATTCACAGTGGATTTCACTCTTATTCACTTGAATCAGGGTTGACTATTTTGCTTTAAATGCAGAGGTGAGGTGAGCCAGATTTCAGTTTTCCCCTACAAAACCCAGTAGAGTTCCTGTTTTTCCAGGCCATGTTACCAAGAAACATTCTTTGTTCCAGTTATTATCCAGCCTGACCTCCTGGTCCAGTGCTGGAAACCAACCTCTTCACATATACTAATGTGTTTTCCGACATTTTAGGACTCCCTAAAGGCCAGGTCATGCATTTCAAGGCTCCTATGGTTGTGGTTTTATTCTCTGGAAACAGGAACAATTCTTGTCCTGGTGCCTCCCCAGCAGACTCAACACAATTCACTTCAGGGGGATTCACCATTGAAAAGGGGAAGGACTAAATCTGATTATTGGGCCTTTTTCTGCCCCAGAGTGCCCAGATTTTACAGCAAGATATTCCAGGGAGTTGCAGACACTCATTCCAGGTTTAAAATGGTACAAACAGGCAGGTGTTGCCCTCATGTTTGTGAAGCTACAAAACCCACTGGAAACACCAGACCTGGGCTGTGAACACACAGGGACTGGGCCAGGTGTGTTTTAATCACAGCTCAGCCTTCTCCTAAAAGGAGATGTTTCAAAAGTCACCCACCTCTCAGCTAACTTGCAGCCTAATTTGATTCTTTGGAAAAAAAAAAGAGTCTAAATGAGCTTGAAAAGCAGATCCAAAGTGCTATGGATGTGCCCTCTGCCACATCCCAATGCCTGGCACCACACTCCATTTCAGAGCAATTACACTGAATTTTTTCAGGTTTATCAGCTGAAACCTCAAACCTCAGGGAACAATCCTCGCTCTCCCACACCCTCACAATCCTATTGTTTATTTGTGTTTAATAAAATTACTTAATTAGACCATTCTCCAAGGAAACAACTTGCAGCTTTAGGCACATACAGGAAGATGTTGACTTCGACACAGCCCTTTCCTCAAGGCAGACCCAAGGCAAACAAACCTTTCAATTAAACCACTGCAGCAGGTAGGAATAAACACCTCTGCTGCTAAACATCACTCATCAGAATCAACACCTACTAATACAAATCTCAGCTTTACAGGAGACATCTGGGGCCTCCAGATGTGTGTTTCAGGTCTCAAAGGAAATATACACAATATACTGAATAGACTGAAACCAATGGATATCCACAGGAAAACTGAATTTTTAGGGTAAGGCCACTGGAATGTAAACAGCAGGGCTGGAATGTCAGAGATGACTCCAGAAGTCTGGTTCCTGCATGGCTCAATGGAATATCCGATATTTACCAACCACACGAGGACAAGCAGGTTTGCTTACAGGCATGGAAAATGAGGATTCCTGAGGGAAACCCAGGATCTCACTACAAACTCCAGCATTAAACATTCAGGGAGGAGAGGAGAAAAACAAACAAAAAACAGACACCGTGTTGTACTTTTTTTGATTTTATAGAATTTTTACAATATATTTCTCTTCATTTGCATATTTTACCCACATCTGTAGCTTTCTTTTTACATGTTGAACTGAACTGGAATAAATCTAAAGGTCTGATATATTTTAAACAACTGATAAAAATTGCAAAGTAGTAAACCCGTAAGAAAAGAAATTATAAAACTCTAGTTTTTAAGTGTTTAATGAAAGCAAGTCAAATGTATCATTAGGAATAATATGGTTTGTTTTAAACACATCATAGGTGATTCAGGCAGGACAACTTTTTTTAGTTTTTCTTATATTAGGCACATTTTTTTCAGCATACCTGTTTTCCAGACAGTTTTATACAATTCAATAGCATCATTCACATCCACTTGGAACTTCTGCATAATTTTCAAAATGTGATTGATCATGAATATTCATTATTGGTATTCTATTCCTCTTTCTTTAGAGCTACCAGAAGAAAAAAAAAATAATCAGTGTTTCTTGTCTGTTAAAAAATCCATAATTAATGATTTGAGTTATAAGGCAGCAACAGATTCAGTGTCAACTCAGGTCACAGTCCTTCAGTTCCATCTAGTGGGTAGAAATTATATTTAGTGGACACTGTTCCTAGACAGTTCCTTCAGGGCAAGACGACTGACTCATGAGGCCAGTCACTGCTGGTAGAGTAAGTTGAGTGGTAATGCCTAGCAAGGAATTCTGGCCACTCCTGTGTCATCCTTGCAGCCTCATGTCTTCATCCAGAAAGCAAAAGGACAGTCCAACAGAAAAAAAAAAGTGACTATGACAGAGCTGTGACAGGTTCTATGAATGGTTTATTTACAGTCTTCATCCCTGATGTGAAAAAAGAAAAAGCCTTCTTTGACTGAGCAGGCAGAGCTCAGCACAGCAGCCCATTGCATATCTGTGATTCCTCAGCCATGGGTGCCCACTGAGGCACTCAGTAGAAGTCCTACTGCTCCAGAGAAACAATTTCCAAGTGCTCACCTGCCCCATCCACATGGCTCCCTAACATCAGTTTAGAAACATCTCCTGGTGGAGCACCTCCCCGTGCCCAGGATCTGTTCAAACAATGACAAGGTGTGAAGCACTCGGGTCCCCAGGGATGTCTGACACCCCTGCAGGGAGCTGCAAACTCAAACATCCTGTGTGGATGTGGGAACAGAATGATCTGTGCATTAAAGGTACACCACAATCTTGATAATTCCCTTCTCATCCTGATGTCTTTAAGGAAATCAACTCAAGATGCTCAAGGAGGGCTTTCAGAGCAGCATCTCTCTGCTTCCTTTCAGTCTTTCACAAATACTACACTTTTCCTGAATCCTGGCATTCTCATTTGCTAAGAGAGCCACTCCATCCCTGAAGGCAATGGCTTCAGCATGGTGCTTCTTGGTCTTCAGTTTTAAGTCTTTCAGGTAGAATAATCACATTCTGATTCAAGCACTTGCTGTGCATTCACTTGGCTGAACAGAAGTCAAAATAAAACTCTACAGCACAAGAGCCCATTGAAAAAATCTGAGGGATGTATTACTGCACGATTCCCTCTCAGAGGGAGATTGGGCCACCCTTAAACTCCAGCCCCAGCTGATGAGAGCATCAGTTCAGAGGACACTCCCCAAAGCAGGGCTCCTGTGCACTGCTATTTGGGCACCACTCAAATTTTGGACAAGCAGAGTCAATAAATACATTTCCTTCTGACAGAGCCACTGCTTTACACAACTTGCATTCAGTTACTACTAGAGCTTTTGGCTGCCCTTTTATTTCCATACTCCAGTGTTGGGGTGAAGAAGTGAAGAAGAAAATAATTAGCATTAAAAGCAATCTGAATTTATATTTGACAACCTCTATAAACTGTGCAATGTACCCACAATACACCCCCAAATCTTTCTGTGTTCTTTTTACTTCTTTGGAAAGGTAATAACCAATGTAGCTGTGCAGGAAGAAAGCCAATTTATTTCAGCAAAGAAGGTCTGCAATTCAATTCACGTTCACCAAGAGAAATGTGGTTATTGCTCTGTGAGATAAGAGTGGATTGATCATTAACCTCACCCTGAGTGCTGGGAGTCTGGGTTCCCAACATTGCCAAGAAGGACCTCCTAAACCACTTAATATCAAAACAACTGAAGGAAAAAAAGCCTTGTGATTCCTTGTAAAGGTGTGGTATTTGAGAAACATGTAAGATCTTCAGGTCATCATTCACCACTGCCTTGTGACTGAAGGCCAGCCTCTGCCCTCTGCACTACAATAATGGGCTATTTGAAATAATACATTGCAGATAAAGCAAGGTAAGAACAAGTGACCCAGATGACTGATTCAAAGAATAGGAGAAACATAAAGCTCTTGCACGAGGATCCTGTGAAACTGGAATCCTTCAACTGCTTTGCAAATCACCCACAATTTGTTTTACAACCTGCAGTTTAGTAAGAATTGAAATCTTTTTCCTTGGGAAGTAGCCTCCAAAACAAAAATGACAGGATTCAAGCGTGGACCATTGCTGCAGTAGCCACCAGATTCTGGTTTGCCTGTTTCACTCTGAAGATGTACAACAGATGCTGCTGATGGCATCACCCCGAGTTCAGCAGTATTTTCTGAAGCTGACATGGTTCATGGATCAAGTTTCCTCAGGAGCAGATGACACAAACGTGGGGGGGGCCTTCCATTCTCATACTTCAGCTACCTTTTTTCCTTTGCTTCCTCTGAATAAAAAACAATATTGTTCTGTTTACTCTAACATGCTACAATATGTGCATACATAACTGTAGGCGACGCATGAGTTACTTCGAGATGTGCTTTTTCATTGAAGTGAGCTGATACTTGTACAAATTCTACATCAAGGTGGA